AAAAAAAGTGGGCCTCGTTTTGCAGTTTGAAGGGAAAGATGAGACTAATGTTGTGAAGGTTGAAAGCTCATGTTTTAAATGAACCTGCAGGATTACACAAACATTAAGAGAAGTTCATCTGTGCATTAGAAAACACACAATAAGTATTTAAAACATTTGTCATTTGAATGATGTAAGCCAACTTGGACGCTTTTTCAGGACAAAGGTGGGGTAAAAAATATTCTAAATGAATATAAATAAATAAATAAAACTGACTGAAATTGTCAAGTAGGTAGAATGGATGGTTATGAAGCTGCTCAAAATCTCTCTCTCTTTTTTTTCTTTTTTTTTCTTTTTTGTGGTGGTGGTGGAGACGCCACAATGAGAGTGTCTTCTCATGTCACCTGGTCCAGATCCCATTAAAAAGAAGCAGGAGCTTTTAACGCGTCCCAGCCCTGAAAATCCAGTTTCTGCCTTTATGATCTCACCAGAATGACACAGACTAGTTTAACAAAGGGCCTCTTGACAACAGTGCTTGCATTCCACGAGACTGCACAGAAGCTGGCATCCGGCACTTATAAACTCATGACGTTCATATCTTTTTATTTAGCTAGATGTTTATATTTAAAACACCTTACTAGATTATTTTTACTTTTTTAAAGGCACAGCTGTACTTCCTTTGACTGAAGAAATACAGTTCTGGAAGGGCGGTGGGTGATCAATATGTGGTGAAAGAAAAGCCTAAACAGGACTTTCAAGACATTGATATTCAGTGTGTGAGGAGGGGGACGATGTAGGCTCTCCTAAACCCATCCCTGACGAGATGAAGAACAGTAGGCACCAATGGGTAAAAGAAGTGGGGAACCTTCCCCTTCCAGGGGTCACAGACCGCTAGACCTGTCATACCATTTGCTGACTTCACTGTCCAACAACACCCAAAAGGCTCAGGAGGATAAACACACAACTAGTCCCTCTCTTCATTTCAGCTGTTCTGGCTTTGAAGGTCGAAGGGCTGCACTTCGACATCATTACAGCCTTGGTGAGTGGCCTGGATCAGGGCCAAGATGGTCGATTTGGCCCCACACCAGGCTTTCACCTTTCTGCTGATTCTTAACAGGACTACATTTTGAAGAGGGCTGCTATGGCCACCCACAGTTTGGCTCATGACCAAGCTTTTAGAGAGCAAGGCTTTTGTCAGGGGAAATGTGTACTCATAGCAGATCCCCCCTTCTCTCCACAGAAGTTGTGCCTACACACCGGGAGGAGGGTAGGCAAACTGTGGGCCCCCAGATGTGTCTGGACTCCAATTCCCAACATTCCTAACTATTGACGAAGCTGACAGGAACTAAAGGGAGTTGCCATTCACCATCCAGAAGCCATACTGTTCCCATTCCTCCTGTACAGATAACACACCTCAATCCCAAGGACTTTGGGGCTGTCCAACTAAAACTAGGAGGCACAGTGGCCTTCTGTCCCAGGCAAAACAGGCAGCAATTTCTCACTCTTCATGGCACCCCATGGACAGAGTCCACCATTCCTGACTCAACTTGGGCCCACTCGGCTTCCTGCCCTTCTGCTTCCTTAACCCTTGCTTCCCATCCCTCTCACAGACCTTCCCATGATGCTTGTGAGGCTTGTGCAGCTTGTGGGCCTTCTTCATCTTCTTCTTCATCTTTTTGGCCGCCTTCTTATCCATCGGGTGCATCCCCCCAGGCAGTAGAGGATTGACCCCCATTCCTCCAGGCATACCAGGAGGGGGAGGAGGATGAAGGCCACCAGGTGGGACAGGGTAGCCAGGTGGATGCCCGGGATAGGGGGGCTGAACAGGATGGCCTGGTGGGTAGGCAGGTTGCCCTGGGATCCCTGGTGGGGGAGCCGGGTAGGAACAAGGAGGAATGGGACCTGGAGGAAAGGCAGGATTCACAGGCGGAGGGTGCGCAGGGTTGACACCGGCCGGGTAAGAAGGGTTGGGAGGATAGGCTGCACCAGGGTAGACACCTGGCTGGCCTGGAAATGAAACAAAAAAGACAGAAGAGGGGAAAACAACAAACCATCAGCCACAAGGCAAAACAAATCCTGCTGCAGCCATCTTGTCTCCTCAGTAGTTAATCTCTAAAAGTGCGACTGAGACTCTCTCTAGTTATATTTCACAACTTCACAGGGGTTGATGTGGCCTAAAGCGGTGATGGCCAACCGATGGTCCTCCACATGTTGCCGAAGTGCAACTTCCAGTATCCCTCACTATGGCCAAGGATGATGGGAACTGCAGTTCAACAACATTTAGAGGGCCAGAGGTCCCCAAGCCATACCCTAAACAACTCCTCTCTCACTTAGCTGCACTTCAGTCCCATCCTCAATCCATCAAGGCAGCAAGTAACAGAAATATCCCCACTTCTCCCTCTGGATTGTAGAGACTACCCAGAGTGGCCGCCATAGAATATATCCTTCACTGGACACCTTTGGGCAATGCAGCACATTCCCACTGAGCAACCACTGAATAGTAGCCGTTGGTGCAGAGAAGACAGACAAGAGTAATGTTTTTAAAAAGCACATCACTGGTAGCAAGGAGCTCATTCAAAATGAGCCATCCCTGACTATGCGCTCTGCTAAGACATAGCACTCTGCTGAGTCACCAAGGGCAGCATCTCTATGCAGTGAAAGGAGAACATGTGGGCACTTCTTTCACAAATGCAAATTCATTCTGGTGCAGGAAAAGATGAGTCTGACCAAAGCTAGATGTGACCAATCTTAACTGCTTTTCTTGCAAGGATACTTCCAGGAGCTTTCCCATCAGTGTGGACTGTGATGCTGGAGCTACATCAACACAATGGCACTAGAGGTGACTTGGCAACTGTTGTCATAGGCTATCCATTTGCTTTCAACTTATAGTGATCCCAGGAATTGGTGATTTCCAAAAGGTCCTATCATTAACACACCTGCTCAGGTCTTGCCAATTTCCAAGCAATTATAGACAACAATAAGGATACAAGAGCTTTTAAAACCCATAGCTACAAGCATCTAATTCAGCAATTAGCAGGCACCCAACCCTTTTTTCAAAGTTGCCAAGGGCCCATCATGTATGCTTCCAGGTAGGATATATCATCTCTGCTTCTCGTCTTGTATAGGTGACATGCAACAATGTGCTACCTTTGTAGTGCTTTCCAGGACGGACTACTGCAATGTCCTCTGCACAGGGCTTCCCTTGATGCTGACCCAGAGACTGCAGTGGGTTCAGAATGTGGCTGCCAGGCTGGTGGCAGATGTGACTAGATTTGATCACATCTCCCCAGTCATGGCTTGCCTACAATGGTTACCAGTTGTGTCCCTGATCAGGTTAAGGGTTTTGATGCTTACTTATAAAGCCCTTCATGGTTTGGGACTAAACATGGGAGCTTCGTATTCATATCCTGGGTGATATGAATCTGAAGCTTGGCACCACGGTTGCCAAAGCGGTCCATTCCTGCCCCCCAGAACCAGCCTGGTCCACTCACCAGGCTCCTTGCAATGTGTGCGTTCGTTGGCGGTGACACTGCGGCAATCGCACATGTAGTCAGTCCTGCTAGCTCTTGCCCACCTTTCCCCTCAGTCGGCTGCTCTAGTGAGGAAGCAGGAAGGCGAGTCTCCCTACTCCGCTGCTGAGTGGTTGGCGGAGGGGAGAGGTGGGGAAGCACCGGCAGGACTACGTGTGTGATTGGTGTGATGTTGCTGACGGACGCACACACTGCAAGGAGCCTGATGAGTGGACTGGGGTGATTCTTGGGGGTGGGAATGGACCATCTTGCCATCTGTGGTGCTGCGCTTCATATTCGTATCCCCCCAGGGTAGGAATACGAAGTTCCTATGTCTCTTTGGGACCATGTTACTTGTCAGAGCGTCTCTTCTCAGGCTATGTTCCTCTGGGTGGCTACGACGAAGGACAGAAAATCTTCAGCAAGAGGCCAGGCCTTCTGGGGGTGGCTCCACCTCTTTGAATGGCCTCCTGGCGGAGCTCTGTCTGGCTCCTGCCCTCCCCAGTTTCAAGAGGCTGCTCAAGAAGCATCTCTTTTGAGAGGCCTCTGAAGGCAGCCTTTCTTGAATTCAAACTATGATATGCTGCGCCATCTGGGCTGAACGCTGGTTTGCTATTGTTAGGTTTTTTTATATTTTGTCTTCTGTTTTGTTTTGTTTTTCATATGTACACTGCCCAGAATAGGGAGGGAGGGAGGGAAAGAGAGAGAGAGCCCTCTCTCCCTTTAGATTCTCAAGGAAGAGGTACCAAAGAGAAATCCATCCAATCTTACCTGAACGGGGATCCCACATGGTCCTGGAAGAGAGAACAGTCTGTCACCTGATGGGAAAAAGATACTGTTGAAGCAACCATGTAAAACGAGAAGGCCATCAATACTGCATAAATCAACTCAGGCTTGAAGGCTGGGCGGAACAGCTCAGTAGGCAGTCAAAAATCTACGCCATAAGGTCAAAGTGCACAACACAGATATCTGGGTTCACAAAGTCAAATGCTGCGAAGACTGCACAACACAGATTCTCCCAGAGAGGAACAACCAGTAGTCTTGTGGAACCTTAAAGAGGAATCAATTGTATTTGCCAAACACTAACTACAGCCCTTTATCACTGGGAACTCAAGGCAAGAAATTAGTCAGGGCATTCGCAGACACAGACGCACGCACACGCACATGCACGGCGGACTGAAATCCAAGATTCTGCACAATTTGATTTTACAATATTAAAGCTTCATTTTTAACTATAGATACACATGTTTGAAAACCTTAGAAGAGGTAGCCATGTGAGTGTGTGCAAGCACATCAGGCAAAAATGTCTCTTACGTCTGAAGGAGTGGATCTGATCCACAAAAGCTCACATTAAAATATAATAGTCTTTAAGGTGCCACAAGTTTTTTTGTCTATTTTATTTTCTTTCTTTGTTTTTTGCCTTATATGTTTGAAAGCCTAAAGAATTGGAAAGCAACTTGAAAACGCTGAAACATCTTTTTCCCTTCTAATTTTCATGTTTCCTGGAAGTTTATATATTAAACATCCCAAATTTTGCAGTATCTGAAATAAAGATGGAATGAGTGTTTTTAACTTTGCAAACAGACCTTTATAGAATTCCAAATGGTTTCTCATCCGTTACCCAAATGAGACAGAAAGGTCAGAATCAAAGAAAGTCTTCAAATCCATTATATTATTTCATATCCAGACTTTTCAGGCTACTTTTCTGAATCTATGTGATTCCGTAGGAAGTATTTTATAGATAATTTACTGTAAAATTCAACATTCCATTATAAGCTGTCTGATTATTCCAGAGTGAAATATGAGCACGACAATATGAATGTTTCAAGACATACTAAATCACAAAGCAAACAAACAAACAAACAAAAACCCAAAACCACCACCCATAATTAGACTACAATTTAGAAGAAAAAGAATCTGGGATTTTTAATCTCCTAACCAGCAATGAGATGAAAGCATATCTGCTTGGGGGGGGGGGAGCGGGATCTGTTTCCATAAAAACAAATTTGTGTTGCGAGATTGCATCTCGGACTACAAGAATGCAAGTTTCTGTTATAGGCAGGAAAGCAACAAAAGTTAGGACACTGGGCCTAAGCAGGTCAAAAGACTTTGGTTTGCGGGACAACACCTTTTTCTCTGTCCCTTCCTCCCTCCCTGCCTCCCTCTCTCTCACACACAGAGTTTCTCCACTATATGTTAAGGAGCCTTCTACCTCCTTTTACTCCAAGGGGAAAACTCAACACACATACAGTAATGGAAGGGCAAAGCTTGCTTTGAGCCCCCAACAATGGATAGCTGCGCCCGACCAAGACCATTCTTGCAGAGGGGACACAATCTGTCTGAACGCACAGCAACGCACTACCTCCCTCTCTTGAGGCCCTGGCAAATAGGTTAGACCTCCCTCTGTATACAATCTGCTCCTTGTTTTCATTGGCATCTCGCCCTTCAGAATAACTCAATCCTCACAGAGCTACAGATGATGTAGTAGCATAAGAAGCATTTTAGAACTTTTGAGGGATATTTCCCAGCCGTCTCTCCAACAGCCCTTATAAAGATAGATTGACAGCATTACAACTCATAATTCACAAAGGGGACACCGACATTGAGAAAATAAGGCTATCAGGTGAATTTGTGGCTAGCGGGAGACAGGAACAGGGAAGTGCCTGGTTCCCAATTGCAATCTCTTAGCTAATACGCTAAGAGGATGAGATGGTTGGACAGTGTCATCGAAGCGACCAACATGAATTTGACCCAACTCCGGGAGGCAGTGAAAGACAGGAGGGCCCGGCGTGCTCTGGTCCATGGGGTCACAAAGAGTTGGACATGACTAAATGACAATGAGCTAATATGCTAACTCTGGAACCATCTGAATGAAAACATAGTTTTTTCACCACAATGCAGTAAAATGACGTGTGTGACATCTTCCCAGCATCAAAATAATTCTCACAGGAATGAAACAGAGGGTTTTGAGAGCCTTTGTATCCACTCCTTTTTACTGATTGGTGCCAGAAGAGTGTGTAGTTTACTAGAAGTCATGCACAGACACATCCATCTCTCTTTTTTCTTTTCTTCTTTAAGAGATCCCTAAGAAATATTTTAAGGAAACAATAAAGTCATCCATATCCCTGCTGCTGCTTCTCTGCTGGAGCCATTTGTGTCGTTTTTTTATTCTTGAGTGCTCATTTAAAGAGTTCAACCAGGAAGCTATTGCTATGGACATGGGTTTCAACTAGGAAACATTCTAGGAAACATGCCCTGAGCAAGGACAGATTTAAACCCAGCTCCGAGGAGTGACAAAACTCATAGCAAGTCACCAAAAAAAAAAAAAAAAAAAAAAAAAAAAAAAAAAAAAAAAAAAAAAAAAAACCAACATAAAAGCACTAAGCTAGGCAAGACAAGATTTACCTGGTTTGGATTATGGGAAAAATGCCAATAACATCAGCATAAAACCCATTATTACTTCAGCAAATGATCCATCTGGACAAGACCAAAGTTCGAGGGGGGGGAAGGAAGAACTTTGTTTAACGCACCCACTAATCTGGAAAAAGACAGTCCAGGACTTCAGAACAATGGCTCAGCATGAACTGTACATGCTTTGAAATACAGTAATGTTCTTCACATTCCCGCCTCTCTACAGAGAGTTGAATTATAGATTTCTTTCCTTTGTATTCCACCTTCTTCCTTATTCAGGCATCCAAGAACCCTTTACACAGAATGAGGAGGAGCACAGACATTAAAGTATTTTATATATTTTAAATGTTACTATGAAGAAAAAATGGTCAGAATGTGAAAACAATTTAAACATTAAAAATGATAAAAAATCAAAAATCAGAGCCATTAAAAATGAGCTTTATATTTTAAAAAAAGCAGTCCTTCCTCTTGAAAACTGTCTCTGCAGCCTGTTCAGTGGCCAAAATCATGGCAAAACGGAAATAGCTTTATCGGCTAGCAAAAGGAGAGTGTGGGGTTAACCTAGCTGCTCATGATACACAGTTTCACAGCCTGGAAGCAGTCACGGAAAAGGCCCTGTCTTGACTCCTCTCACCCTACATGCCTGTTCTCACCTACCCTTCCATTTATACTAGTGCATTCATCATGCAACCTTTTCCCTTGTTCTAGAGCTTCTGGGCAAAAGTACCTTCTTCCCTTCGATTCCTTTACTTTCTTGCTGCTAGAGCAGCCTCTTGGGAATGCAGACTTCTGCAGCAAAGTGCTGCCTGCCAGATGATTGTGGACTGTCCACTCCCAACTTTCCTCACTGCTGGCTACTCTACTGAAGGGAACTGCAGTCCAGCTACATATGGAGGACCACCCTTTGACTAGCCCCCTGCCCTGCAATATGTCCTAGTGACAGCCGCCAGATAACAAGTCCAGAAGATCCCAAGCAAAAGAAACATTTCTGCTTAATCAGGCCACAAAAACTTTGCAAAACTCTAAATGCAAACAGAGCTTACCGCTGCAGTGATTATTTACCCAAGCAAACAAGATGGGAAACAAACAAGGGAAGAGCCCGGCTGCAAATTACACACAGAAAACACACAGAGGAGCTCAGCCCAGTAACCGCTACAAAGAGACCAACAGATGAAAACTGGTTCTCAACATCTGATCCTTCAGATACAGTATTAGGAATTTCAGCGGCTGCAATCCCTGCTTACTAGCCATATTGGGAGAGGCTTCTGGGAACTGAAGTCCAAAACACCCAGAAGGTCCAAAATTAAGAACTAGCAAGAGGATCTGGAAAGTTCAACACTGGATTATGAGAGAGTGTTTGGGAACCATTCTTTCTGAAAGTCCAGTTATTTGCCATAAGTTGCAGTCCCCACCTTTCTGCGGTAGTGCAGTTGCATTGGCCTTTAGCAGCAACACCAACCAGAAGTCTTGTGGCAACTTAAAGATTATTTATTTATTTAATTAATTATTTATTAAATGTCTACCCCGTCCATCTAGTGGCAAGCACTATTCTGCGCAGCTTACAACACCCCAACTAAACAAATGCAGTAGGATCCCCTTATCCATGGGATCAGTATCCACTTATCCATAATCAGAAAATAGTAAAAATAGTAAAAGAAAAAAATCCAGAAAAAACTATTTTCACATGTATTACCAGAACCAGCCACTAGAGGAAGCCAGAGACTATGCTATGAATACTTGTTAGTGAAGAATATATAGCATGGCATCTGGCATCTTCTAGTGGCTAGTTCTGGTAATGCATATGAAAATATTGTTTCCTATTTCTTTCCTTCTACCATGCTTGCTAGCTATCTATTATCTGAAGTTTTCAGTTTCCAAGGGAGGCTTGGAACCAATCCCCAGTGTATATACTGCATTCCAAAATGGCGATGGCAGTAGTACCAAATAAAAATCACACAATTATACAATAAATCAAATAGGGAGAAGGTTATTAAATTAAATTGAGAGAACATTGTCTACAGTTATCAAAAACCTGTCTGGAAAGCAAAGTTTTTATCTGTCTTCTAAACAGGAGGGTCGATGCCTGATGCATCTCCACTGGTAGGGAATTCCACAAAGAGGCAGACACCACTGAGAAGGCCTAGTTCCTAGTTTAGGACTTCCAAGGCCTCCCTTGGGAGGGCCACCCACAACATCACTGATTGGGAGGTGTGGATGGGATGGGTGGTAGATCTGAGGAAGCGGCATTTAAATCGGTAGCAAGGCCCCAAACCGTTCAGGGCTTTGTATTAACATTAACACCTTGAATTGTGCCCACAAACATACCAGCAGCCAGTGCAAACAAACCAGAAACGGGGAGACAGGATCGCACCTCAATGGTCCCAAGACCAGCCTGGTCTCTTCACTCTGCACATGCTGCAGCTTCCAAACCACCTTCAAGGGTAGCTCTACGATTAACCCATTTCTTTTGTTGGCATAAACTTTTATGGACTGAAGCCCACCCATCCATGCATTTGATGAAGAGGACTGTAATCCCTGGATAATTATGCCAAATAAAATAATCTTGTTGTCTTTAGGATGTCACAAAACTTTTCTGTATACACGGAGCTGACTTTTTGTTTTGCTTGGGCCACACGATAAAGATGGATAAGACCAAGACATTCCCTCAGATTCAGGTGCCCATCTCTAAAATACCCTTACAGTCAGCACACATCTTGGTGCACAGAAAGAAACAAATGCTCCATCTGCACGAATCCTCAGTCTCCTTATCAGCACACATCTTGGTGCACAGAAACAAATGCTCCATCTGCACGAATCCTCAGTCTCCTTCATCTGCGACTATTTTGTCAGTCTAACAGAGTTGAACTTTCTGAGCAAGTTCTACATAATTCTTCTGGCCTGTACAGAGTTCCCCAACACAACACTGTACTGTAATATCATATACAGTATATAACATTTTTCTTTCTTTGGTACTAGTTGTTTCATATTTAGAGATTTAGTCTCTTTTGAGTGGTGCTTTATTTGTGTCCTATTGTTATTTTATTATATGTTTATATTACAGTACATTGCTGTGATATGTTACTCACCCAGAGTAGTGGCCCAGCCACTAGATGGGTGGGATACAAATTTTATTAATTAATTAAAACATTGCATTCTGGAGTGACAGCCTGCCAGCCAGCCAACCTTTTTCCAGGACAATCCATTCGATTCCACTCTCCCTCCCCCTTTTCACACACACCCTACTGGTCAGCAATCCATGCCCACTGAGCATGCTCCGTCCTTATCAAACTCTTTGATAAGACTTTGCCTAAAGATCTTGTCCATTTGTATAAAGGCTGAATTGATCTAAGCTTCCCAAAACTTCAATTTTTTGAGCATGGGCAGCACTATGTTCGGTATACATGGATCTATACTCTCAGAATAACTTCCCTGTTATTTTGCAAATGTTTTAGTACTACTAAAACTCCCCTCTAAGCCTCCCCCCTTCCACTAGATAGTATTTATAAGCCTCAGCATCATCAGGACGGGGTTGATAACCAGAGGTAGCACAAGATTTACTAAAATAAGCACAGGGCAAGTGCTTGGGCAGTGCACAAAAAAAGCTAGATAATTATTTAATTATTATTACGACTAACAGGAGGAGCATCATGAGTTACATTCAGACAAATGGATTACAGTTTTAATGATTGGTCATTTTCCGATGCGGCATTGCCTCTAAGGAGAAAGAAGGTCCTGGAAGGTCCCCTTTCTCTTAAAATTCGCACTTTTCCAGAGTTCACAGGGATCGCCTCCCAAAACAAAAAGCGCCCGAAATGGTGCAGCCTGATAACAGAAGGCTTTGGCTCACGCCCCAAATGCAGGAAACGGGTTTCCCCGCTGAGGGCTGCTCCCTTTAAAAGAAGGCAGCGCCCCAAACAACAAAGCCTCCCCAACAGCAAGAGCCGAGCCCAGCCCTGCCCGTATTACCAAAGAGCAACCACTCACCTCCGCCTCCAAGAACTCTCTTCTCCCTTAGCCCTTTGGCTCTGTGGAGCACCGCTGCCGCCGCTTCCTGGTCGTCTTACTCGCACCTGGTTCCATGTCCAAGCTCCTCCGTCCATTGGCTCACGACCTAGCCGCCGTCTTCCTATAGGCCAAGGAAACCGTCCATCACTTAATAGCGTCTCAATAGCCTGTTAAGCAGGCCTTCAAGCAATGGGTCTTCGGGCGGAGGAGGGGGGGCGGAGTTTAAAGGGACTAAGCAGGTTTGCTGAACTTCATCCGGTTAAAATCGTCTTTATGCTTTAACCGGACTAGGGAATTGTTTAAAACAGCAGCAAATGTAGAAATTGCCGAAAAGAACCAGGGGTGGCTTCTGAGGTGTAAAGTGGACAGAAGAAAAACAAGCAGAGCTTACCTGTGGTTCTGCTGAGGTGGGGTTTTCAACAGGTGTGGTATGACGTGCACCTTCTTGGACCACCTTAATATGGTGAAGGGGGTTGAGTGTGTCATTGAACGAGCCTGGACCTTTAGCAGAATAGTTACAGCGGGGACACGAGAGTCAGGTGTATCCAACTTCTTCAAAGCAACTGCTGGGCATCAGTGTGTAGCGTTCACCCTCGTGCCCCACTTTTGACCGTCAAAACTCAGAGCACACGAAGGCAAATCCCCTCTTTTACACTGCTGCCACCAGGTGATCACTAAATCACCATTACTTCAGGAAGATAAAGATTCAGGTCCACACGCAAAGACTTTTAAATAGGACTTTTGTTTATTGATTACAGAAATTGATATTGATTCATGAATATCTTCTTTAAGTAAATTTATTATTAACAACAACCTTCTATTTGATAATACACTCCTAAATCTAATCACACCTCAGAATTCCCCAAACTCCACACTCTTATCTCCTTCTCTCATTCATACCCTGACTACTCTTACTCTCTCCCTCTGAACGTCTCTCTCAGGCTCCGCCTCTTATCCTTTTTTCTGGGCTCTGCCTCTCAGCAACATGAATATGCATGAGCAATTAACATCATAACATGAACCATTGACATCATAAAGGGGAAGGCTACACAGTGGTAGCCTGAAGGTGACACTGGTGGATGAGGCAATGATGGTGACACTCAAGCTAACTTTTGTTAGTCCTGCATAGAAGCTGGCAATGGTAGACTGCTGGTGAACATTTCTTACCTTGAAAACCCCATAATGAGACAGCTCAAAATGAAACAAGAGATAGTGCTGGAAGAGAAGAGTTCTAGGTCAGAAAGTACTCAGTCAGCCATTGAGGAAGAGCAAAGGACAAGTACAAATAACTGCAGTTGCTAGTGACACAACTAGATTAAAGCTGATGGGATCTCTAGTGGCTAATATGCACAGAAGTAAAAGGGAAGTCGAATGCTGTACAACACGTACAATTGGAACATGGAACATGAGATGTATGAACCAAGGTAAACCGGAAACTGTAAAGCAAGAAATGAAACATATAAACCAGGGGTCTCAAACATGTGGCCTGCGGGATGATAGTTTGTGGCCCCCGCCTTAATTTGAAAGTTTAAGGAGCGGGAGCAGCGGTGGCGGCACCTACTTGGTGAGTGTGGGGCTTCCTCCCCGCCTCATAGGGGCTGGGTCCCACCTGCCCCCCTGAAGGGCCCACATGTTCAGAAGGGGAGCCCTCTCTCTGCCCGGCCATCTTCTCCCTCATGGGTTTGGCGTCACCGGGGCTTCTGCTTTTAGGTCTCTGTCTCTCCCCCCCCCCGCTCTTTGTGGGTCACCTGATGAGGCAGCTGCTGCAGTCGACTCGTCCTCTCTGTGCTTCTCCTTCCCCCTGCCTGGCACTCCTCCGCTCCCTGCCCAGACACAGGAGGGGAGTTGCCGAGAGAACAGCTTTCTTGCACGTGCTTCCCTCCCCCCATCTCCCTGAGCCACACTGGGCAAGACCACAGCATCTTGCCAGAGTGGGAGTCAAGAAGTCCCAGGAAGCCCCATTAGCCCTTGGGTAGGGGGGGAGAGATTACTCTGCTGATGGGTCCAGCCTTGCAGAAGGGGAGCATGCAACTGCTGGGGGGGTGCACAGGGAGTGGA